GTAGGAGAAGAGATCTTGCGGCCCTGAGAAGCAGGTTGAAAGGATGCAAAAAGCGACTCGAAACGTCAGAAAGTAGGTGTGTGTTTAATAATTTACATAATGTCCTGCGAACATCTAGCTTGTGCCATCTCTTTTCTCTAGGATGTTTGGGGTGCAGACAAAAATCTGGGAAGACGACCTCCTGGGCCTGGTGAAACCAGGAATTAATTTTAGGAATAAATGCCGGGTCCAAACGGAGAATCACCCTGTCAGGTTGGATTAGGCATAAGTCCTCTCGAATTGACAGGGCTGCCAATTCAGAAATTCATTGAGCAGATGTGATGGCGATCAAGAAGGCGGTTTTGAACGTCATATGTTTAAGACTGGCGGACCGGAGTGGTTCAAAGGGCCACCCGTAACACTACATTGAGATCCCAGGATGGGTACCTGTGGACAACCAGGGGCCTCAAGTTGGTCACGCCCCGCAGGAAACTAGGGATGATAGGGTGACGGCCGAGGGACAAGTGTTCATCCACTGCTAGAATTGTGGACAAGGCCGCTACCTGTCGTCTGAGAGTATTAGGAGCCAGGCCTTGGTCAAGTCCATCCTATAAATAGTCCAAAATTTTTGGAACCATGGCCTCAGCAGCCTCAACGCCATGCGCTCTGCACCAGGTATTGAAGGATTTCCAAGGGGTGTCATATATTCTGGTCGTAGAATACTGCCTGGATGCCTGAATGGTATGAATAACCTTGGTGGAAAGATTACCCTGATTTAGGAGGTCCCTCTCAATTGCCATCACTGGCAATTGCAACCACTGGGGCTCTGGATGTTGAAGCACCCTCTAGCTAAGAGAGACCTCGTGTTAGGAAATCCGCCAAGGTGGGCTGACGGAGAGATTCACCAGGTCGGCGAACCAGGTTCTTCTGGTCAGGAGCCACAAGCAGGACCTCCGCTTCCTCTGACAGGATCTTCCGAATCACCCTGGGGAGAAGAGGTAATGGGGGGAACACATACAGCAGTCCTGATGGCCACGGATAGTGAAGAGTGTTGACCCCCTCGGCTTGCGGGGTGTGAAACCTTGCAAAAAGCCTGGGAAGGTGCATGTTCTCTGAGGTAGTGAACAGGTCGACTAGCGGACGGCTGAACCTCCAAGACAATTGGTGAAACGGGTCCAGATGCAGGCGCCACTCCGAGTGATCTACTGTGACCCTGCTCAGGCAATCTGCTTGAATGTTGTTGATCCTGGAGATGTGCTCCGCTTGGATCGAGCACAGGTGTCTTTCTGCCCACCTTCCCAGGCATTCGGTCTCCGCCATCAGGGACCTGGAGTGAGTGCCCCCCTGGCGGTTTATGTGCACCTTTGTAGCCATATTGTCCGTTAGGATTCTCACATGATGCCCCCTGATGCTGTTTTGGAAGTGAACGAGGACGAGACCCACTGCTCTCAACTCCAACCAGTTGATGCTGTGTGACGCTTCAGCCGTCGACCACCTCCCCTACGCAATCTGGTTGTAGAGTGAGTCCCCCAGCCGACGAGGCTGGTGTCCATCGTGATGGCGAGACGGTCCGGCTCTCTGAAAAGGGTGCCCTTTGCAAGAGCAGGGGACAGCCATCATTGAAAGGACTGGCGTACTTTCGGTGAGACCAGGACCAGCTGTTGAGAGTTGCTCTGATTGGCCCTCTGGAAGGGCAGGAGGAGCCATTGTAGGTATTGGGAATGAAGGCATCCCCAAGGCACTATCGACAGGCACGAAATCATTTTGCCCAGGAGCTGGGACAACTGTACGATCAATGCTTCCGATGACTGTTGCATCTGCAGCACCTGGTCTCTGATGCTTGCCAGCCATTCCGGAGACAGGGAGACCTGACAGCTCATGGTGTCGATGATGGCTCCAAGGTGCTGCAGCCTGGTGGTCGGTGTGAGATGACTCTTTTCTGTGTTGATGGAGAACACCCGTGTGTTGCAGGTCCTGCACCGCTTGTTGTCGTGATGACGACTGGATGAGAATGTCGTCCAGGTAACAATGTAGTCGCAATGGAATGAGATCTTAGGAAGGCCACCACTGCAGCTAGTATGTTCATGAAGGTCCGCGGAGCCGATGACAGGCTGAACGGCAGTGCCCTATACTGGTAGTGGCGGCCTGCATAAAAGAATCTCAGGAACCTGCGGTGAGCCTTGCGAATGGGAATGTGGAGGTAGGCCTCTTTGATATCTATAGATGTTAAGAGATCTCCAGGCCTGATGCAGCCCAGAATTGACTGAAGGGACTGCATCTTGAACCTCCTGTACTCTATGTGACGATTTAGCTTTTTTAGATCTAGTATCCCCCTCCACCCCCTGGAGTTCTTGGGAACAAGGAAGAGGATGGAGTAAAATTCTGTCCCTTCCTGGCCTGGTGGAACCGGTTCTATGGCCCCGATTTCCCTGCGATGAAGGATCTCCTGTTCCATGAGAGCCTTCTTGACTGGGGAAGTGAGGGTCGGGCATCAGATGAAGTGTCGAGGAGGTGTGTATAGGAACTCTAATGTCAGACCTATGTGTATGGTTTGAAGAACCCACTGGTCTGACATGATCTGCTCCCATTGGGCGTGGAACAGCTGTAGATGCCCTCCGATGGGAGCTGATAGCCACTTATATCGCCTGAAGGGTCTGGAGCCCCCCCTCCCCGCGATAGGGACGTTTAGAGATGGACTGCTGGTGGCCCCTGTCACGAAAGGGCTGCCAGTCCTGAGGCCTATTAGTACCCTGGGAAAAGGGACATTGAAAGGAACCAGAGGTAGATGGCTGTTCCGTGTTCTGAAAGGGCTCCGTGTTCCGAAAGGGTTCCGAAAGGGCTGCCTCCTGTAGGATTGGGAACTCTTGCGAGCAGACTTCTTATTAACCAAAGGCATGACCTTCTTCTTGTCCTTATTTTCAATGAGGACAGGATCAAGGGCCTCCCCAAATAGCTTGCCACACTTGAAAGGAGCAGAGGCAAGCTTCCACTTGGAGCGCATGTTTGCGTTCCAGTGTCTGAGCCATAAGAGGCATCGGATAGTGACATTAGAAGCCAGAGATCGAGGTGCAAATTTGGCAGCATTTAGGGTGGCGTCAGCAGTGTACTCTGTGGCCGCAATAATTTTGTTAACATCCTGCCTCAATTTGGTGTTCCCACCCGGAAGCTTAGCAAGAAGCTGCTTCAACCATAGTAGGGCCGCCCTGGAGAGGAAGGATGCAGAGACGGAAGTCTTGATGGCCCAAGCTGCTGCCTAATGAGTCTTGTGGCAGGCATTTTCAGCCCTCTTATCCTCCACCTTGAGCCCTTCTAATAGCTCGTGGGTGAGCACTGAGGAGGAAGTGAGTGTCGCCACTGGTGCAGGAAATAAAAGAGAGTCCAAGCAATCTGGAAGTACTGAAGAGAAACTTGAAGCGCGTCCACTGGGCTGAATTGAAAAAAATCTGAGGAATAATCAGCACCAGAGGCGTGGTTTAAAGTTTCAATTTAGTCCTGGGCAGATTGGCTGTATTTAACCCATGCTTGGACTCTCCAAGCAGCACCCAGGAAAATAATGAGTTTCACCAATTATGTGTCAGACTGCACACAGTGTGACTATTTTGAGACAACCAAGGAGCAGAATGCAATAAACAGGTTTGTCTTTCAAATAGTGGTTTATCTACAAGGAATATACGTACTAGGCAGGGAATCAATCATCAACTACAGCATGAAAACACACGGAGAGAGGGACACCCTCAATTTAAATTGTGCAACAACTGCAATCTATCTAAAAATAAGGTATTGTGTTTGTATTGATTACAACTAGACTAAAGATTAACATTAGTAGCTGCCCACTATTACCCTGTGATACAGCCAACACATTTAATAAACAAATAAAACATCTTCTTCATGTCATTCTTGAATCCCGGTGATAAAAGTTTCTTGGCAGCAATATGGAAGTGGCTTGCCATTATCTTCTTCCAGGATGGTTCTTTTTTTTACTTCCCATTCTAGCCTACAGCCCTGAAACTCCCCTTAGGTCTCCCATCCAAGTTCTAATTATGTCTGATTCTGTTTAGCATCTCAGCCCAAACTAAACTACTGAGCCACATCCAGACAAACTTCTGTAAATGCATTTTACTGGCAATGCTTTTGAAGATAATTTTAAAAACCACAGCTGTTACAAAAATAGCACTTTATTTATTTAAAACATTTCTGCCCCCCTCTATATTTGCAAGGAATCCCAGAATGACTTTGCAAAGACCAATCATATGCTCATAGGGCTTATAATCTAAAATATATGACATAATTTAATCAAATGAGGAAAGGCAACGGATGAAACAGCAAGCTCGGAAAGCTGCTCTCTCAGTTTTTATACCAAAAATAGTTCAGACAACATGACAGTATGACAGATGTTAGATCACAGTAGGGGAAGAAACAAAGATAAATTGTTGTCCTGTGTGAATCTATGGAATAGCCCAAATTCATGTCTGTCTTTTCATTCTGCATTTTATGAAGAACGTGTCTATTATAAAAATACTATAAAGTTATTTGGGCTGCATTTTTTTTACTATGAAATGATACTATTTGGTTGTATTGTTTATACATACAGTGTCATCTCTTTAAGATGTTGTCCTAAAATGGTGGGCCAGAAATACTTGAAATAATCAACACATCCAAAATATAGTTATTGTGTTGTAGTATACTGCAAAATTAATGTAGATTTACAGGGTGAACAATTGCTACAAGAAACAGATTATTTGAGGAGGGTAGGATACTTGAAGAAAGTTCAGTAACCCAGGACAAACATACTATCTAAGTATAGACACTTTTCTTTTTTTTACTATTGGGGAAAACTGAACATGCAAAGCTCTTTAGTTTGGCGCTGATTGGTTGATACTTGAGTTACTAAAGGCTGTCAGCTTTTGATACCGTATCAGACAAATTTTCTGAATGTGTAGCCAGTTGGCATTACTCAAATATTATTTAAAGCTCAAAATATATTGCCATAAACAAAAAGTTTTCAAAGAAAAGCTACTCACTAAGCTGCAGAGTCATTCAGCTGATACTCCCGGGCACGATTAAAGCAGGCCTGGACTCCATTGTCTGACCACAGCCTCCGAATCACATTGGATAAGTCCTCTGGCATGATTCCCTGCTCCTCTGCAGTGCAAGAGAGTGCAAACAACTGACGAGCATCATCCTGCAAGGAAAGTAAAATTGAGACATTTAGGACCATGTGGAGCGGGGAGCGCAAATGTCACATTACACACACTCACAAAAAGGTCTTCCCAGAGTGAAGCATATTTTGCAAAGGAAATAAAACACCCTCTAGTTACAAAGCAGATGCCAGTTATAAATGCATATCATATTAAGTCTATGCTTAACAACTTATATGGGTAACTGCTGAATCCTGAAATTGAGCAAGGTCAGTCCTGAATAGTAATTGGGAGTATGTTACAGAAAGAATTTTAGTGACATGAAACCTGAGAAGTAGTTCAATCAGATTTAACCGTGTGAAAAATTTTATATACAGGTAGTCCTCAACTTGCAACAGTTCATTTAGTGACCTTTCAAAGTTACAACAGCATTGAAATAAGTGACCAATGGCCATTTTTCAAAGTTGCAACCTTTGTACCATCCCCATAGTCATATGATCAAAATTCAGATGCTTGGCAACTGGTTCATATTTATGACAGTTACTGTGACCTGGGGTAATGTGTTCCCCTTTTGTGACCTTCCGACAAGCAAACTCAATCGGGAAGCCAGATTCACTTAACAACTGGATTACTAACTTAACAACTGCAGTGATTCACTTAACAACTGGATTACTAACTTAACAA